TCATTAGCTAAAGCCTCCCTTACTAGCAGCCTTTACTTAAAAGTTCACCAGCTAAAAGTTCAGTAACTAGCAGTCTTCACTAGCTGAAATGACTCTTGAAATGACTCACTAACTACCAGGCTAAACTAGCCAGAAGTCCACTTGCTAAACATTCACTATCTGAAACTTCACCAACTAGCAGTCTTCATCAGCTGGAACTTCATTAACTTAGTCTTTACTACCTAAAATTTCACTAACTACACTATCTAAACCTTCACTAACAACAAAGCCTTCACTAACTAGCAGCCATCACAAACTAAAACTTCACTAACTAGCAGTCTTCTCTGTCTAAAACTCCACTAACTAGCAGTCTTCTCTGTCTAAAACTCCACTAACTAGCAGTCTTCACTATCTAAAACTCCACTAACTAGCAGTCTTCTCTGTCTAAAACTTCACTAACTAGCAGTCTTCACTATCTAAAACTCCACTAACTAGCAGTCTTCACAAACTAAAACTTCACTAACTAGCAGTCTTCTCTGTCTAAAACTCCACTAACTAGCAGTCTTCTCTGTCTAAAACTCCACTAACTAGCAGTCTTCTCTGTCTAAAACTTCACTAACTAGCAGTCTTCTCTGTCTAAAACTTCACTAACTAGCAGTCTTCACTGTCTAAAACTTCACTAACTAGCAGTCTTCACTGGGTACAATGTCACTAACTAGCAGTCTTCACAGGCTAAAACTTCGCTAACTAGCAGTCTTCACTAGGTAAAACATCACTAACTAGCAGTCTTCACTAGGTAAAACGTCACTAACTAGCAGTCTTCACTAGGTAAAACGTGTCTAACTAGCAGTCTTCACTAGGTAAAACGTCACTAACTAGCAGTCTTCACTAGGTAAAACGTCACTAACTAGCAGTCTTCACTGGGTAAAACGTCACTAACTAGCAGTCTTCACTAGGTAAAACGTCACTAACTAGCAGTCTTCACTAGGTAAAACGTCACTAACTAGCAGTCTTCACTGGGTAAAACGTCACTAACTAGCAGTCTTCACTGGGTAAAACGTCACTAACTAGCAGTCTTCACTGGGTAAAACGTCACTAACTAGCAGTCTTCACTAGGTAAAACGTCACTAACTAGCAGTCTTCACTGGGTAAAACGTCACTAACTAGCAGTCTTCACTAGGTAAAACGTCACTAACTAGCAGTCTTCACTAGGTAAAACGTCACTAACTAGCAGTCTTCACTAGGTAAAACGTCACTAACTAGCAGTCTTCACTGGGTAAAACGTCACTAACTAGCAGTCTTCTCTGTCTAAAACTCCACTAACTAGCAGTCTTCTCTGTCTAAAACTCCACTAACTAGCAGTCTTCAAAAGCCAAAACGTCGGTAGCGAGCAGCCACACTGTCAGTGTTGAAGTTTGCGTTTTAGGGCTACAGTTGACTGACCAGCTCATTTGGTCAGCTGTCGTCTTCAGTTGTGTTGATATCTGGTGACTGCGAAGGCCGTAACATATGATCAGACTGTTCAGTGACCCGTGGCGGCCTGTTGGACACCACTCCCCTCTGGACAGACACGTTTATCAGAGGATAAAGGTGATAGAATAACCGTGTAATGACTTGCAGTGACTCCTTCCTCCAAGAGGATAAGTGGACCCAAACCTCGCCAGCAAAAAGCCCACCCGAGCGTAACAGAGCCACCTGACCCCCTCACTGTGAGGGTCCATCATTCAGGCCTGTACCGTTCTCGTGGTGTACAGTGCACAGGCACTGTCCTGCATGTGGAGAATTGGGTGAAGGATGACTCACCTGATCAGAGCTGTGCTGGTGGTTTTACACCACTGACCCCTCAGAGGGTCACTGGTCTTTGTAATGAGGGGTTTATACACTGTAATATCGCTACGTAGCTGTGGACGGACGGATCTCGCTGACGTGTTTGAGTGGTCTGGACGCTCGTGCCCAAACAGAGCAGAATTTCAGTGACTCGACCGCAGCCGAGGCCAAAACATCGGCAAAGTGAAGGAAAAAATGCTGGACTATAAATGTGATGTGGACGAACTGAGTCCAGCCATTTTCTGGAGCTGCTGTTATTTTTGTTTGTTTGTTTTTGACTGTTGTCAGAGTAACGAGCAGAAGGATGTCAGCCGTTGTGTCTCTTCACAGAAGGACAGATAATTAGCCATATTTCTGTCTTTCTCTCTCTCTCTCTCTCTCTCTCTCTCTCTCTCTCTTTCTCTCTCTGTCTGTCTGTCTGTCTGTCTGTCTTTGTTTCTCTCTCAGATTTTCTCTGCTGTCTTCCAGAGCAGCCTGGTTATTAATTAAGAATCATTCATTTTTTTAAATCGCCGCTAATGATCTCTCTTTGTCTGTCTGTCTGTCTGTCTCTCTCTCTCTCTGTCTCTCTCTCAGGCAGGCGAATGAGGAGTATCAGGTCTTGGCTAACTCGTGGCGTTACTCGTCCGCCTTCTCCAACAAGCTCTTCTTTACGGTCGTCGACTATGACGAGGGTGCCGATGTTTTTCAGCAGGTGACTCTTCCTCTACTTCTCTCTCACATGCTCTGTGTTTAAGCCCCTCCCCCTGCCAGAGTTCAACTGAATGTGCAGAGAGAAAATTATGCAACAAAACATTGAATTGTTTGACCGACACGCAGCAAAATGCTAAAACAGATCGGTCCACTGTATGTTAGTGCTCAGAGTGAGGGAGTGCAGAGGCAGAGTTTAGAAGCAGTATAGCAGCTTTACTCGTTAGCATAGAAGACAAACAAAGAAACTTCACTAGCTAAAAGTTCACAAGCTAAAAACGTCTTCACTAACTGAACCTACCTAGCTTAAACCTGACCAGTCAGTAGCCTTCACTAGCTAAAACCTTATACTTCACTTTATACTTATACATCTTAGAACTTTAATAGCCAGCAGTCCTCACTAGCTAAAATGTCACTAGCTAAAACTTCACTGGCCAGCAGCCTTCACTAGCTAAAGTGTGACTAGTTAACAAGTCAATCTCTAGTTTCTTCTCTAACTAAACTTGACTAGCCATCAGCATTCTCTAGCAAAATTCTTGCTAGCTAAAATGTCACTAGCCAGCAGATTTCACTAGCTAAAATTTCACTAGCTAAAACTTAATGAGCTAAAACTTAACTGCCCAGCAGCCTTCACTAGCTAAAGCTTCACTAGCTAAAGCTTCACTAGCTAAAGCGTCACTAGCTAAAGCGTCACTAGCTAAAGCGTCACTAGCTAAAGCGTCACTAGCTAAAGCTTCACTAGCTAAAGCGTCACTAGCTAAAGCGTCACTAGCTAAAGCGTCACTAGCTAAAGCGTCACTAGCTAAAGCTTCACTAGCTAAAACTTCACTAGATGAAACTTTACCAGCTAAAACTAAATGAGCTAAAACTTCACTAGCTGAAACTTAACTAGCCAGGAGCCTTCACTAGCTAAAAATGAGGAAGCTAAAAAATTAACAAACAAACTTCACAAGCTTAAACTTCACTATTCAACAGACTTCACTAGCTAAACCTAAATGAGCTAAAACTTCACTAGCTAAACCTAAATGAGCTAAAACTTCACTAGCTAAACCTAAATGAGCTAAAACTTCACTAGCTAAAACTTCACTAGCTAAACCTTCACTAGCTAGAACTTGACTAGCTAAACCTTCACTAGCTAAACCTAAATGAGCTAAAACTTCACTAGCTAAACCTAAATGAGCTAAAACTTCACTAGCTAAAACTTCACTAGCTAAAACTTCACTAGCTAAACCTAAATGAGCTAAAACTTCACTAGCTAAACCTAAATGAGCTAAAACTTCACTAGCTAAAACTTCACTAGCTAAAACTTCACTAGCTAAACCTAAATGAGCTAAAACTTCACTAGCTAGAACTTGACTAGCTAAACCTTCACTAGCTAAACCTAAATGAGCTAAAACTTCGCTAGCTAGAACTTGACTAGCTAAACCTTCACTAGCTAAACCTAAATGAGCTAAACCTTCACTAGCTAAACCTAAATGAGCTAAAGCTTCACTAGCTAAACCTAAATGAGCTAAAGCTTCATTTCCCAGCAGTTTTCAGCAAAATCCTCACTGACTCGCAGACTTTCCAAGCTAAAACTTCACTAGACAGAAGGTTTTACTAGCTAAAACATCTCTAGCTAACAGCCTCCTCTGGCTAAAACTTGACCGTCTGTAACTTCACTCACTCACAGCCACACTGATAACTTAAAGAACTACGTCTAAGTTTGAGGAATGCAGAAGACTGTCCAGCTAATTTGATCAGCGGCCGTCTCTGAGCTTTCTCAGCTGACCTTAGAACACTTATTATTACACAGCTGAGCTACTTTATCTGCAGATCAGCTCTCTAACAAGCTAGCGAGGTACTTGTTCTGTTCCGCAATAAAGTGACCAGTGAGTGTCCACCAGAGGGGTTTGGCCGATTTCAGATAGAATTCTTCAGAAGTGCCTGTCGTCCATCTCTCTGACAGACCACATCGGTCAGCCTCACGTTCACGTTTCAGCTCTGATTTTCTCCGTCTGTGTCTGTCTGGCTGCGACTGCATTAGGAGGTGCGTTTTAACCTGAATTACATTTCAGAAAGTGACAACACCAATCAAATACAATCCAGCCTCACTTTCTGTAATGGAACACGTCGGTTCTTCTGCAGAACACAGAGAAAAATCCAGACAGAGTCAGAAAGAGAACGCAGAGCGCACGGGAGACGCTAATGAAACGTCACGTTGTGGAGATTTTACAGATGTAGATCTTTAGGCTCGTTGTTGTTCAGTTCAGAAGGACCTTGTTAGATGACCAGTCCTGGAAGTATGATCTTTAGAGACACTCTTTAGAGCGGGGGTCTCAAACCGGCCCCTGAGACGACTTCATATATGCAATTTAGCCTTAAATTTGGCTGCAAACACGTTTAGATCAGCTTCATCCACCAGTTGCTGTGACTGGTTATCTAACATAAGCTATAATAATCAGCTCTGACTGATGACTACATTGAGTGCGTTTACATGCACATAATAATCCGATAACTGCAGAAAATCTGATTTTGTCAGTAATCCGATCAACGCGTTTATATGCACAAGTAATCAAATAATGGGGAAACTCCAGGTTTACATGAGTCAGACAGTAATCAGATTTCTGCTTTGCAACCAGCCAATAAACTCACAGAAGAAGACGTGACATAAACGTAACGTAAAACTCAAACTTCACGATGCAGCTTTTTTTGACGTCGAGTTACTTTAACTGAAAATATGAACATAAATCATCTAGAAGACGAAGGAAATTTAAATCCTTCATTTCGTCAAGCATGTTTTTGGTTTCAACGTTGCTCCGAAAGTGTTTTGCTGCGTCTCGTGGCGGCGCTGCTCGCTTATTTCCAGTACGGCAGTCTGTTTTCGCCCATACACAGACTGAGGACTCCGAAAGAAATCAGAGTAAGAGTTTACAGCACTGAGAAATCTGATTACTGAGCTAAAATCCAGCCGCTTTATCAGATTTCTTAATCGGATTTCTAGATTGGAGTGTGCTGTTTGCGTGACCATTTGAATAATCAGATAACTGCAGAAATCCGATTATGATCGGATTATTGGGTGCATGTAAACACGCTCAGTGTTTAAAGTAGGGCTGAACGATTTGGGGAACATACCAAATTGCGATTTTTCGGCGTTTTTAATTTCGATTATTTTCTATAAATTAAGACGTTTTCTAGCTTGAGGCTTCCCCTGAATGTAATGTGCCAGACAGCCAGTAAGTTGTGGTTGTCACAACACATGGAGGTTTAGTTGGCTCTGATTGGTCGAACTCGTCTACAGGCAGTTAACAAGCTCAGGGTTATTAGGTTCAATTCTCCCAATTATCAAACTTTTTTGATAATTTAGGCTCTCGTTAAAAAAAAAATTGCAGCTCTTGCAATTTGAAAATTGTACTCTATTAAATTGCATTAAAAAAATAAAAAAAAGATAAATCAGCTCTAGTTGATTTATTTGTGCAATGCATGCTGGGTATTGTAGTGAAAAACACAGTGAAACCAGTGAGGCTGATGGATGCAGTGCTGCTCTATGTAATGATACACAACATAGGAAATAACATTAAATACCCGTTTTAAGCTAAAGTACACAAATCCTACACTCTTCTCGGTTCTTCAAGGGTTCTTAAGTTAAGGCAGTGGTTCTATTTAGAACCATCAGTTCTGTAAAGAACCATTCCATTAAGATGGTTATCGTAACAATAGCGGAACCCCTTTTTGGTGCTATATAGAACCCTTTTTTAAAAGGTTCAATACAGGACCATCTACAGCACATTTTCTATAAATCTGGGGAACGTTTCATGATGAAAGAACCTTTTAATCATGCAATAGGTTCTTTAGGTGTTCATGGTTCTCTATAGAACTATTTACTAAAGAACCTTTGAAGCACTGTGTTTTTGAAGAGTGTAGTTTTAGGCTACACTCTTAAAAAAAGATGGTTCTTCAAGGGTTCTTCAGTAAAGGGAATAGAACTGAGTTCTGTATAGAACATTTCTTTGCTTCGTGAAATGTTTCAGATTGATGGAGAAGCAGATGTGCTGTAGATGGTTCTGTATAAAACCTATTTGAAAATGGTTCTTTACAGCACTGAAAAGGGTTCTACTATTGTTACAAGCCTATTTTGGTGCTATATAGAACCCTTTTCTAAGTAGAACCATCTACAGAACATTCTCCATGAATCTGAAGAACCCTTTCACAAGGCAAAGAGCCCTTTAATCATGCAAAGCATTCGTGGTTCTATATAGAACCATCTATTTTTACTAAAGAACCCTTGAAGAACCACCTTTTTAAGAGCGTGGTATACAGAAATCCTACGTTTTCAAAGACAGTTCTTCAAACGTTCTTTAATAAAGGCTGTGGTTCTATTTAAAATCATGAGTTCTGTATAGAACTATTCCATTAAATGGTTCTATGCATGGTGAGATGGGTAATCAGATTGATGAAGAATGTGTTGTGTATGGTTCTATATAGCACTGAAAGGGCTCTCCTATAGTAACAATGTCAAGCTGTATAAAGAACTGTATACAAAACACGCTCCGTCACTCTGAAGAACCATTTAAACATGAAATGGTTCTACATAAAACTCATTTTTCTGTATAGAACCATTGGTTTTAGTAAAGAACCCTTGAAGAACCATCTTTTTATGTTTGTAGCTGGTTGTGTAGTGGATGTACGACGTGCACCTGCAGATCACGTAGCGACACCGTCGGAGAGTGGAAAGGTCAGTTACTGCCCAACTCTACTCCACCACGGTTGCTCGGCTACCATAGACGTTTGACCATCGGCAACTGCCCTGAGGTCACTCCGGTAATCTCCGTCCAGTAGCCAAACTCACAGGCCGGTTTTTCCTCCTTTAGCTGGAGTTTTGCTGAGAATTGATGCCACTCAGTTCATTTGCATGCTAATAAACGTTGGTGATGTGAGCAGAGCAGGTTATTACGGTTCTCCCCCAGGTTCTCTTTTCTTTTTTTTTGAAGAAACCGGCTCCTGACTGGCAGTCGCACCATCACA